GAGACTCACCACCGCTGAGACTCACCACCGCTGAGACTCACCACCACAGAGACTCACCATCACAGAGACTCACCAACACTGAGACTCACCATCACTGAGACTCACCACCACTGAGACTCACCACCACTGAGACTCACCACCACTGAGACTCACCACCACTGAGACTCACCACCACAGAGACTCACACCACTGAGACTCACCATCACTGAGACTCACCACCACTGAGACTCACCACCACTGAGACTCACCACCACTGAGACTCACCACCACAGAGACTCACCATCACAGAGACTCACCACCACAGAGACTCACCACCACAGAGACTCACCATCACAGAGACACCACCACAGAGACTCACCACCACAGAGACTCACCATCACTCAGAGACACCACCACAGAGACTCACCACCACAGAGACTCACCACCACTGAGACTCACCACCACTGAGACTCACCACCACTGAGACTCACCACCACTGAGACTCACCACCACTGAGACTCACCACCACTGAGACTCACCACCACAGAGACTCACCACCACAGAGACTCACCACCACAGAGACTCACCACCACTGAGACTCACCATCACAGAGACTCACCACCACAGAGACTCACCACCACTGAGACTCACCACCACTGAGACTCACCACCACTGAGACTCACCACCACTGAGACTCACCACCACTGAGACTCACCACCACAGAGACTCACCACCACTGAGACTCACCACCACTGAGACTCACCACCACAGAGACTCACCACCACAGAGACTCACCACCACTGAGACTCACCATCACAGAGACTCACCACCACAGAGACTCACCACCACTGAGACTCACCACCACTGAGACTCACCACCACAGAGACTCACCACCACAGAGACTCACCACCACAGAGACTCACCACCACTGAGACTCACCACCACTGAGACTCACCACCACTGAGACTCACCACCACAGAGACTCACCACCACAGAGACTCACCACCACAGAGACTCACCACCACTGAGACTCACCATCACAGAGACTCACCACCACAGAGACTCACCACCACTGAGACTCACCACCACTGAGACTCACCACCACTGAGACTCACCACCACTGAGACTCACCACCACAGAGACTCACCACCACTGAGACTCACCACCACTGAGACTCACCACCACAGAGACTCACCACCACAGAGACTCACCACCACTGAGACTCACCATCACAGAGACTCACCACCACAGAGACTCACCACCACTGAGACTCACCACCACTGAGACTCACCACCACAGAGACTCACCACCACAGAGACTCACCACCACAGAGACTCACCACCACAGAGACTCACCACCACTGAGACTCCCCACCACTGAGACTCACCACCACTGAGACTCACCACCACTGAGACTCACCACCACAGAGACTCACCGCCACTGAGACTCACCACCACTGAGACTCACCACCACTGAGACTCACCACCACTCAGACTCACCATCACAGAGACTCACCACCACAGAGACTCTCCATCACTGAGACTCACCATCACAGAGACTCACCATCACTGAGACTCGCCACCACTGAGACTCACCACCACTGAGACTCACCACCACTGAGACTCACCACCACTGAGACTCACCACCGCTGAGACTCACCACCGCTGAGACTCACCACCACAGAGACTCACCATCACAGAGACTCACCAACACTGAGACTCACCATCACTGAGACTCACCACCACTGAGACTCACCACCACTGAGACTCACCACCACTGAGACTCACCACCACTGAGACTCACCACCACAGAGACTCACACCACTGAGACTCACCATCACTGAGACTCACCACCACTGAGACTCACCACCACTGAGACTCACCACCACTGAGACTCACCACCACAGAGACTCACCATCACAGAGACTCACCACCACAAAGACTCACCACCACAGAGACTCACCATCACAGAGACACCACCACAGAGACTCACCACCACAGAGACTCACCATCACTCAGAGACACCACCACAGAGACTCACACCACAGAGACTCACCACCACTGAGACTCACCACCACTGAGACTCACCACCACTGAGACTCACCACCACTGAGACTCACCACCACTGAGACTCACCACCACAGAGACTCACCACCACATAGACTCACCACCACACAGACTCACCACCACAGAGACTCACCACCACTGAGACTCACCATCACAGAGACTCACCACCACAGAGACTCACCACCACTGAGACTCACCACCACTGAGACTCACCACCACTGAGACTCACCACCACTGAGACTCACCACCACTGAGACTCACCACCACAGAGACTCACCACCACTGAGACTCACCACCACTGAGACTCACCACCACAGAGACTCACCACCACAGAGACTCACCACCACTGAGACTCACCATCACAGAGACTCACCACCACAGAGACTCACCACCACTGAGACTCACCACCACTGAGACTCACCACCACAGAGACTCACCACCACAGAGACTCACCACCACAGAGACTCACCACCACTGAGACTCACCACCACTGAGACTCACCACCACTGAGACTCACCACCACAGAGACTCACCACCACAGAGACTCACCACCACAGAGACTCACCACCACTGAGACTCACCATCACAGAGACTCACCACCACAGAGACTCACCACCACTGAGACTCACCACCACTGAGACTCACCACCACTGAGACTCACCACCACTGAGACTCACCACCACAGAGACTCACCACCACTGAGACTCACCACCACTGAGACTCACCACCACAGAGACTCACCACCACAGAGACTCACCACCACTGAGACTCACCATCACAGAGACTCACCACCACAGAGACTCACCACCACTGAGACTCACCACCACTGAGACTCACCACCACAGAGACTCACCACCACAGAGACTCACCACCACAGAGACTCACCACCACAGAGACTCACCACCACTGAGACTCCCCACCACTGAGACTCACCACCACTGAGACTCACCACCACTGAGACTCACCACCACTGAGACTCACCGCCACTGAGACTCACCACCACTGAGACTCACCACCACTGAGACTCACCACCACTGAGACTCACCATCACTGAGACTCACCACCACAGAGACTCACCACCACTGAGACTCACCACCACTGAGACTCACCACCACAGAGACTCACCACCACAGAGACTCACCACCACAGAGATTCACCACCACTGAGACTCACCATCACAGAGACTCACCACCACAGAGACTCACCACCACTGAGACTCACCACCACTGAGACTCACCACCACAGAGACTCACCACCACAGAGACTCACCACCACAGAGACTCACCACCACTGAGACTCCCCACCACTGAGACTCACCACCACTGAGACTCACCACTACAGAGACTCACCGCCACTGAGACTCACCACCACTGAGACTCACCATCACAGAGACTCACCACCACTGAGACTCACCACCACTGAGACTCACCACCACAGAGACTCACCACCACTGAGACTCCCACCACTGAGACTCACCACCACAGAGACTCACCACCACAGAGACTCACCACCACAGAGACTCACCACCACTGAGACTCACCACCACAGAGACTCACCACCACAGAGACTCACCACCACAGAGACTCACCACCACAGAGACTCACCATCACAGAGACTCACCACCACAGAGACTCACCACCACTGAGACTCCCCACCACTGAGACTCCCCACCACTGAGACTCCCCACCACTGAGACTCACCACCACAGAGACTCACCACCACAGAGACTCACCATCACAGAGACTCGCCATCACCGAGACTCCTCGCAGAGAGACTCCCTGAGACTCGCTCACGCGCTCGCTACCGTCAGTCACTCGGCACTCGAGACCCGGTCACCGCCGTGACTCGCTCGGGGTCCTCCGGGTGCTCATTTAGAGCCTGGCTGCTGCTGAGAGGTTGCGGGATGAAATTCCGTGGCGACGTCGGTGGTGATGGTGACGCCTCCTGCCTTTGTCGTTACAGTTCTAGGCTGAGACGGCGGGAGCCCTGCAAGACGTGCCCAGCCGAGGACCACCGGACGCCCCCCCCCCCCCCCCCGCTTGCGTCCACGCGGCGCGTGCTGCGACCTCCACGGATTTTTTTGTACAAAAAAATTGTCGGTAGTGGGCTCGCTTGTAAACGACGTGTGATTCGGATGGTGTCAGTGACGATACATATTCATTTATGAGTCGGTAAGCAGCCACGCTTTTGAGAACCATTTCCATCCCCGGCTCATCTTTGTATGCGCCTCCTCTTCTTCCTCTTCGCCTGGCAGGGCCGAGCACTCGCCGGTGTGCACCCGTGGGAGGGGGCGGGGGAGTCACGGCGCTCGGGTTTTGATTGACAGCTTAGTGGGGGCGGTCTAACGAGCGTGATGGAAGAACGGCGTCAATAATAGCAATAACACCCTCTCGGCGCACAGCCCTCCGTGAACCCTAATCGTGAGCCCCCCACCCCCCCACAAATTTTATTCTCAGAATGGTATTCTCAGAATGTATTCTCAGATTGTATTCTCGCCGTTCGTTCACTGGGGCAGCGACGCGACCCTCCCAGCGGTGGAGAGCGCGTGTTCGCTGCCCTTAAGATGCCCCGGCGTAAGCGCCGAGGGGGGGGCGGCGGGTGTGTGGGGGGACACGGGAGGGCGGTGGGGGGTTCTGGGCCCATGCGAGTGCCCGCAAGTTTTGTCACTGGAGCATCCGAATAAAACGACCGCAGCTCGCCGACCCCACGTGATGTGCTCTTGCTCGAGGGAGACGCAAAAAAAAATGGGATTCGCACCGACCATCGTGGTTTTTTTTTGTTTTTTTTTCAAAAGCAGTCCTTTATTATTTCTAAGTCTACGCTAACGGGGCGCGGGCGGGTGTTGGCGGGCAAGGAGGGCAGCAGCAGCAGCTCCTCGCGGCTCGTCGGGGTGGATCTCGCGCTCCTCCGCGCCACCCCCGGCTCACCCCCAAGCTCACCCCAGCTCACCCCAGCTCACCCCAGCTCCGTGTGCACCTGTGGGCAGGGGACCAAGGGGGAAAAGCTGTGGGCGGGTTCGAGGTGAAGAGTCGCTGAATGGTGAAAGCACGAGTGGGTGAGGAGTGAGTGAGTGAGCGGGTCGGCGGGTGGATGGGTCGTTGGGTGTAAGCGAAGGGTTGTGGGTGAGCTCGTGCAAGGCAGTGGTTGGAAGTGAAGGACTTTGTGGGTGGGTGGGGGTAGGGTGGTTGGTCAAAGTGAGCGGGTGAAAGTCTGCGAATAGGTGCGTGGGCAAATAAGCAAGTTGGCGATTGAATCCTGGCATGGCTGATGGTGTGGGGGAGCAGTCCCCCCCCCACCCCCGTGGACAGGCCGAGCGATGCCGCAAGCGTTTCTACCGACCGCGCCGGGAGACCGCGGGGCCAGGGAGCTTGGCAACGGCCCCGGTGGGCAGTGGAGAGCCTCGGCGGAGCTGCGTCGCCCTCATCTACCCGACTGGCTCCAAACCGCGCCCTCCCACTCCAGCACCGGTGCGGAGACGGCTTCCATGCTCGGCGTGGTAGCGCTGCATGGTTGCACTGCGTGGTTGCACTGCGTGGTTGCACTGCGTGGTAGCGCGTGGTAGCGCTGCGTGGTTGCACTGCGTGGTAGCGCTGCGTGGTAACGCTGCGTGGTAACGCTGCGTGGTAGCGCTGCGTGGTTGCACTGCGTGGTAGCGCTGACGTGGTTGCACTGGGTGGTAGCGCTGCGTGGTAGCGCTGCGTGGTAGCGCTGCGTGGTTGCGCTGCGTGGTAGCGCTGCGTGGTAGCGCTGCGTGGTAGCGCTGCGTGGTAGCGCTGCGTGGTTGCGCTGCGTGGTAGCGCTGCGTGGTTGCGCTGCGTGGTTGCGCTGCGTGGTAGCGCTGCGTGGTTGCGCTGCGTGGTAGCGCTGCGTGGTTGCGCTGCGTGGTTGCGCTGCGTGGTTGCGCTGCGTGGTTGCGCTGCGTGGTAGCGCTGCGTGGTTGCGCTGCGTGGTAGCGCTGCGTGGTTGCGCTGCGTGGTTGCGCTGCGTGGTTGCGCTGCGTGATAGCGCTGCGTGGTAGCGCTGCGTGGTTGCGCTGCGTGGTTGCGCTGCGTGGTAGCGCTGCGTGGTGCGCTGCGTGGTAGCGCTGCGTGGTTGCGCTGCGTGGTAGCGCTGCGTGGTTGCGCTGCGTGGTTGCGCTGCGTGGTAGCGCTGCGTGGTTGCGCTGCGTGGTTGCTGCGTGGTTGCGCTGCGTGCCTGCGCTGCGGCGTTGGCCGTGCGTACCCCGCTCCGGCCCGCTGCAGGCAGTGGACGGCAGCCGCGTGCACGCTGGGGAACAGCCTGGCGCCCCGGGTCCGCGCCTGCCGGGTCCGTTGCTGTGCCCGTCTCCGTGACGCCGGGCGTGAAGAACCCACAGGAGTGGAGCTGCTCCAGGACGCAGTCTCCTCGTATGGGGGGCGGGGGGGGGAGACGGTGACGGGCACGGTGCCACCGTCACGACCGTGCGGGCGCGGCAACGCGGGGGTGCGGGTCGACGGTGTGCGAGCTCAGCCCTTACCCTGACAGGCGGCGATGCACACCTCCAGGCCCATCGCGCCCAGCCCCGCCATGGCCTGTGACGCACACGCCGAGCACAACAACAACAGCAGGAGCCGCCATTCGCCAGCAAGTGGCGGGGACGTCGCCACGGCGCTTTGTGCCGAGCGCAGTCGCAGGCCGATAACGGTTACCCTTCCCGGGGACGTCGAGCCAGGCCCCGGCTCGAGAGTCGTGCTCTCACGTTGGGGAGATGCGCCTGCTGGATGTGTCCGCTAGCGGATGACCACTGCTACCCGTGCTCCTGATGGCCTATCCGCCCCGTGGTCTCACGTCATCGTTTTGTGGGCGGGAATTGCGAGTGGCGAGGATCTCGGCTCCGGAAGACGTCGTTGTCCCATCAGATCCATACGGGGAGGTGGCCGGGTGGCTCGGAGGTCAAGAACGCTGAGCCAGCGATGCTGAGATGCTAGGTTCTAATTCAGGTTTCAAGCCACCATGTGATTAAACCGGATTCTCAAGCGTGTTGAGTTGATGGGCCCAGGTACGGTCACCAATGAATGCACGCAAAAAAACACATTAAATCACGCGAACTCCGGTCATTCTCGCAGCGGCGTTTGGCTAAGATGGTCATTACATCTTTCAGTTTGTTGCCCCCCCCCCCCCACGCCTCCGATTCGCCACGGTTGGCTACGTACGGTACGAAAGAAGTTGACTGGCCACCGGTAGTTCGAGTGACTGTGGAGTGAATCGGCGAGCAGCGACACGGCCCGCCTGGGTTACGCCTCCACGTGCCCTCCACGTGCCCTCACCGTCTTGAGGGTCTTCACGGCAACGGTGTCCACCAGGTTGACCGGAGAGAAGTCCAGAATGAGCGAGTGGATGGCGGGCCGGGGAGCCGCGCGGTCCTCCGTGTCCGGCGCCATCAGCCCCGGCAGCCCCGGCAGCCCGAGCGCGCACTCCCTCCCCGCCGGCTCCACCGCCAGCCCCGGCTCGGCACCGGGCGCCGGCATCTGGGCCCCGTCTCCCGTGGCCGGCGCCACCTGCAGATGGGGGGGGGGGGGAGGGGGCGCGGCCACATCGCCGAGTGACCAGGAGGAGTCGGTGGGGCCATCGGTATCGTGGGCAGCGGGGAAGGTCATCGCGTTTCCACTGTGCCGGTGTTCGTTGCAGGGCCACTGGCGGCCCTCTGGTGGCCTTTAGTTGCGGCCCCTGAACGTGCGCCCCTCCCCCCTTCACCCCAGACAATACACAACGTTTGAGAACACCCCCCATCATCCTCGTGCTGCCGTCACACCCCCCAGTGGTTCACGTGCTGTGTGGCGGTCCCTCGCTCACATGATGATGTCTTATCGGCGAAAGTGGCCCCAATCTGAAAATTGGTCAAGAACACTGTCATGTACGGCGGGGTCACGGACATCTGTCAGCGGTCATAATATTCCATAGGCGTAGCCAGGGTCATAGACGGCAGTGTCAATGACGGGTGTAATTGGAGATCGCTCTTTATCATTTCACATGTGTCATTCATTGTTCTAGGTATCAGTAGGCTCATGATTACCGACTAATCAGCCGGGTCATTACATCACCAGGGTCAACACAATCCTATAGATGTGCGTGGTTATTGCATTTTCACAG